CCCCCCCGGTTGTGGCAGTTTCGTGGTTTGGCTCGTTTTTGCATTTACGTAGAAAAGCGTCGTCAGATGTCTCTGATTATAACGCGGAAAGTCATATCGAACGTGGTTAATTTTTTCCCTTTCTCGTCTTCTTTTCTTTTCTGCTGGAAAGGAAGTAATTAATACGCTGTCGATCGGGCACAGAGGAAATCAAGGTCGGCGTCTGCTTTGCAGAAAGATCCGAAATTCATTGCGTCGTTGGTTGCTTCGTTCGAAGGGAAATTTGAACGTTTAGGCTAATTTTAATCGGAACTGAACTGAGTCGACGAGCGACGAAAGAATTCGCTCTCTGCCACTCTGGCTGGCTCGATCGAAAAATAATTATCGAAGCGTTTCGCTTTCAGAGAATGTATACGTATACACGCGACAGATTGGATATCCGTTCTGAATAATTCATCCGGGGACGAAAAATCAAGAGGCCGCTGCATATTCAAAAGAACCTGGGCCTACCGAGACCCGGTCGTTAGATCGATTTTCTCGTGTGCCCGATCCGCCAGCTATCGGTCAATTAAAGTCCCAACGCCTCCCTCCTCCGTCGAAGGAGATCGTCCCGATGTTTGTAGTTGTAGTCTCTCTCGATTGTCCAGACAAAACTCTCCCTGCCAGATCCATTCTGTTGGTTCACACGGTTCGCAGAAGTTCTCATACACGACACTTAATTGGACTAAATCCCAATCCTATGAACGACACACGACGACGTTGGTGAGTGGATCGGATCGGATCGGGTCGGGTCGGCCATCGCGAAAAATTAACGTATGGGCAAGGCGGTCAGGCCTTGGGACATTTTTTAAGCTCGATGTTCGATCCTTGCATCCTCGAGAGTTCTTTCTTTCTCCGCACGGGCGAGAAAAAGGAAAGAAAGAAAGAAAAGGGGGAGGGGAGAGAGTCTAGGAGAAAGCGAGGATGACATCCTCTCGGCTCACAGTGGGCTGACGGAATCACAAACACACAACGAACGTTGTTCGAACGAACACGCGAGCTGGTCGACACTTGGCGGGCAAGTTTCTCTCGTTTCTCCGCGTTCAAACCGGGTACCGAGTGGCCAACGCGACGATCGTCGTCCGGGGACGACGTTATCATGTGCACCACGGGGACCCTGACGACCTAGCGGACGCTAAGCTCGCGCCCGCAGTGGCCATTCTCACGCGCGGCGACGCTGTCGTTGAGGATGAGCCCGAGGTGCTGTCGTCCACCTCGAGGTCACTCTCGTTTCGAACACACAACGAAACATTCTGCCAGCTGGTTGCCAGGCCCCCCCAGCTCGCTCCGCCGAGCAGGTAGGTTAGAACGAGTAGAATGAGGCACCCACCTAGGCACCCGCCACTTCCAGGATCCACGCTACTGCAACCGCTCGTCTGGTTCTCGGTTGTCGGTTTTTGCACTTCCTGATGGGACACGCACTCTACCTGCTGGCTACCTGTCCACGGGTCGCCCTCCACCACGTTGTGCCTCGCGCCGATCGCCGTGTTGTCCACGCTCGCGTCCTGCTGGTTCACAGGCGGCAGCGGCTTGTCCTTGTCCAGGTCGTCGTCGTCCAGCTCCAGCGACGTCTCCGTCCCGTAGAACACTAGCTTGAACTCCTCGAGGGTATCTGAAACCGGTCGTGACGTCCCGTTAGATTCAATCCGCGTGCGAGCGACGGGCCAATCGTGTGGTAGACACATGGCGAGCATGCTAGAACTCAAAATGTCGAAACAAAAGGGGGAAAAAAAGAGAATACCTGAAAAACGCTAATGACGGTGAGCGATAGTGTAGAGATATGCAGAGAAGAAAGATATCTACGTTCATAGACAATGATTACGTACGTCTGGATTCTCAACTACCGTGCTGGAACTAACAATTTAATCATTTCTTTCGTGACAAATGCATTGTTTTTTTTTTTGCAAATGAACTGAAAACGAAACATAGACGAGACATGCTGGTATCGTCGAGCGAATCTTCGCAAGTTTGCCACGCAGAAACAAATTTGGGGATCGTGCTTGAATAAAGACCAAGGATGTAAATAAACAAACTTCGAGACAATGTTGCTCCAGATCTGACGGCGCGTGAAAATTACTCAGGACGATGTCTTGCAATAAACTTCACGGTAACGTGTATATTATAAAAGATTTCGTCAGAGGATTAATCCCAATTAAAATTTAATTTTCCAAAGTTTTACGGAGGATTTTAATTTCAATTTTCGCGTATTCCCCCCCCCCCCATTGTGAATCGATTTTCAAACAATTCGAACATCTCCGCGAAAAGTTTCATTTCCCCGACGAAGCAATTAAACGGAGGAAAACATCATCAATTAAGATGATTTTTATCGACGACACGACATGACTTAACGGTTCGATGGTTAAGAAACACCAATTATAGAAAAAAAAACGATCTAACGTTATTCATCGTTCGTTGAAAATCGAATACCTTACCTTCGTATGGACAACATTTTCAAATCTCTCCTCACCTGCGTCGTCGACATCTCGTAAAAAGAAAGAAAAAGAAAAAAAAATTGAAATAATTGTACAACTGAATAACTGAATATATCTGCCGGAAATACGGCTCGAAACGGTGGAAACATAAATGGAACTATCGCGAATTCGCGAAATGCTTGAGATCGTCGTCCTTGTTTTCTTAATATCACCGCGATCTGATGACAAATGGATGCTACCATTCGACGTGACACGAGTGCACTTTGCATTACAGGCGCGTGCACGCGAGCGTGAACAAGCGTGTTTCATCGCGACGTATTTGAGAGTACGTTCGATGTAAAGGCGGTGACAGTGAGGCGGGCGAATCGAAAAAGGATGTCAATGTCGTTGGCATTGCGACGATGCTCGGGGAGTCTTGCCCTTACCTTACCGGAAATGGTAACCGGGAATCGATAAAATTGGAACAATGTTCCCCGACGAAATTTCGTCGCCACGATCCTAGAGGATATCTTGCGAAAACTTTTGCATTGTCAGAGACATTATGAAATGCAAAAAAAAAAAGAAAGGGTAAAATTAAAGTTTAATAACAAGCACGTGTGCGCGTTATTTGAAACAATATTTAACAATATTGTTCGTGTACTATGGACACTTTGCACGAGGCATACTTCTACCGAGCATACACACACACGCACGCGCGCACACACACACACGTACACGCACATTCATGCATGCAAGCGAGTCGTCTTACTTCAACAGCTTTTAACAACTTTGTAATTCCAACGCAACATTGGAAAGCGAAATTTTCAATCTACAATGTGTTTTTGCAGGAAATAAAGTTTCGCCGTACGATAACGCGAGAACATGGAGAAAATGTGAGAGGACATGCGGCGAAATTTGTTAAAAGGTTTTTCGCTCGCTACGAAATGATACTGGCGAGTAACAATAAAATTGGAGCTACGTCAGCGAACGCACAACTCTGCTTTGGTTAGTTGAAATTACTTTTCGCCAATTTAAACGTCGTTTTTTCCTCTTTTTTTTTCCTCCTCTTATCCTACAAAAAGACATCTTAGCAGATACATAACAAAGAAGTTTATAGAATTTTATAGAACGAGAAAATATCGCAATGTGTGAATACTTGGAGATCGAGCGATGAAAGGAAACACGTAGCAAATAAACAATAAAAATTACCAACAAATTACATCGAGGTGCGCTTGCAACAGTATAGGAGCACGGAAGGGAGGGGATAAAAAAAAATATATATATACATATATATACGAAAATACATTAAATCATAAAAACCGTGTCACTGAATTCAGCCATTGTCCACATAGGATGCACAACGTCTATTTGTACACAAAAATGTTTTACTACTCTGGCGAGATGCGACAAAAGAAACCGCGTGTAACGCACACGTCCGTGGATGGCGCATGTTGCTACATTGCTCGCGAGTATTTTCGTTTTCTCTCTCTGTTTGCGTGCATGAGGAAAGATCGACGTCGCTGGGAAAGCTACGCCAGCTACGTTCACGTTTTTAAACCAATCCACGGATTGCTCGTTACCTCGGACCGTGGGGGTCTGCCTTAACGCTTTAACTAAAGAGGAATACCCTTGTCCAGGTTCTTGGAATCGAACTGCTCGTCCTGGAGCAATTCCAGGCCCTTGGCTCTGGTCGCGTGCTGCTGGCCGGCCCCTCTGACACCAGCGTAGACGGGATAGAGCGGATAGAGCTGTTGGATTTTAGGATACTGCTGGAAGATGGCCGGCACGTTGTCGATGGCAGGTTTCGCCGGTGGCTCCAAGAGGATCAGGCCTCTCTGAAGCGGCGAGGCTTGAGTCGCTGTGTCGACGACTCTCTGTCTGTTGGTGACTTTGGTGATGGAAACGGTTGTGGTGGTAGATGGGGTGGTGGTCTGGGTGACCGTCACTGTGGTGGTGGTGGTGGTGGTGGTGATGGGGCTGGGTGTGCTCCTTCCTCTGGGCCTCGACGTGATCAGGCGAACTTCACCGGCGACGTTCGACGGCCCCCTGGCCACGGTCAAGCCCCTCAACGTTTGCACGGTGGGTCTCGGCGTGAGTTTATTGGCTGATTTGCTGTTTTTGTGCTGACCGCGCGCTTTGCTCTTCCTCTGCGACTGTATCTGAGCGTTGACCACGTACGGCGGGCTCAGGCTGCCGGGTTTCTCCGGCTTGTGTTGACTTTGCTTGATCTTCGAGCTGGTGAGGAAGTTCTGCGCCTTCGAGAACACGGTTTCCCGCGGCTTCACGAACGGCCTTCTCGGTATGTTCATCCCGGCTGGGTTGTACAACGCGTACTCCGTGCGATCGGGCAGCGTTGACGTTCCGTAGAAGATCAACGCCCATTCGTGAAGCGTCGCACGACCTGGCCGCCGAATCGTCGTTCGATGATCGTCGGATGACAGGAGGCCAGCAGGGAGAAAACAGCAGCAATTCCAAAGTTTCAATCGGTATTTTACGATCAAGGTAAAAGAATGAAGTTATTCGTACGGAGGAGATTTAATTTACAGACATTATCTCGCCCTTTGTTCATCGTCCAGATCTATCTTTCCTCGAACGATTCAAAGGCGGGGCGCGCGAGTAATTCTCAGTGGAAGAGAATGTTGTCGTGTAGCGGGGCTTATCAGTGGTCGAGGATTAGAAAATCATTGACGACCGACAGGTGCAATTCCCGGGCTGGTGCAATATTGTTGTTGGCCGGTGACAACGACGGCAGAGCGGATCTCGCTAAGCAACGTACAGGAGGAGTCAACGCAAACGGGACGTGTAATGGTTTGAATACCTGTACTTGGAATGTATCCTGCATATTACGCGACATAATAGAGCAAGCTTCTATCTTGCGCGCGGATACACCACGCTACAAGACTGTGCGGGATTACGCTACAAGGCGCGCGTTAACTCAAACTTTATGCGCACATCGGCTTTAACACACAGGCAGAGGTTAGGCTTCTAGCTTCGAGTGCTTCTGACGATTTCACCCTTGCGCAAGGTCAACCGCCCCAATCCCTCGGAAGATGGCTCACGTGGATGCCATCGCCGAGGGAACACGCGGTTCGAACCCGGGGAATTACACCCTGGGGAGATGATGCGGCAGCTTACTTGCTCCCACGTGCACCGTTTACGAGATACTCCCTTTATATCCTCCAAGATCAAACGATAAGATAGCTGAGCGTCAGAATCTATGGAACTCGGCCCGTGTATTGTGTCAGCCTCTGTCACACGGCTAATTTTATAATTCGTCCTTCTATCGCAATCCTGATCGTTCGGTGAACATGTATTCAAGCTAATATACTTGCAGGTCGAATTTTCAATTAATTGGAAGATTGAAAGTATGAAGCCTACTCTGTGATGAATGATGAACGTGAACTATGTATAAATAGAGAGAGAGAATGTTGAAAATCAAAGGATCGTTATTGATTGTAGAAACAATTGTTGTTTCGACACAAACGAGAGTATAAATTACAACTTCGACGGTACACTTCTTTCGCGAGAGAAGTGTAACAGGATAGAAACCCTTGGAAAATGTCTGATACGAACGAGGTTATACACTCGGTGTATCTGGAAATGCCGGTGGTGCGATGAAAGGAAGGAACAAAAAGACGGATACAATGGACTTACCTTGGTATCGACCCTCATTGTGGATTTCAAGTTTCCACGTGCCGTGCGGCCTTTCTCCCCAAGTGTGAACCGACATAAATGGCCATTGATTGAAACCAGCCTTCGAGATGTCGTGAGGCCTTTTCGCGAGGAGTGTGCTCTTTGTGCCTTGCGGTGATGTTAGCTGTATCTGGAGATCTCCTCGTCTCGAGGCCATCAGCGAAACCTTTGCCTAGAAAGCACATATTTCGTATACTTATTTCGTCGATTTCCAGACTACACAAATATCTTCCCGAAATTCTTCCATTAAACTTTTTTTTCTTTTTTTTTTTTTTTCTTCTCACCGAGAGATAAAAGTCTCGACAAGTAAAAAAGTTCAATCTATGAACCTGTTTCTCTCTCGTGAAGAATTCTGAACGAGGCGAGAGAGAATTTAGGGCAATTCCACGTCTGAACGTGATCGAAACCGTCGCAAAGGAAAGCTATTAATTAACCTGCTACTTACATGCGAGTGACATGGCATGTACTTACCTGCACGTGCTCGAGAAAATTAACGCCGCTACACTCCTTGACGTGCAATTCCAGAGTCAGCTGGCTCTTTGGCGGTATCGGCCTGTACGCACATACACACAGAGATT